TCCTGGCCAGAATCACTAAGTATATGGGCTTTGAGACATTTTACCTCATTTCACTACTATAGCACTCAAAAACAGAATGGGTTTTCTTTAAGTTTTTAGCTATTCTAATAATTTATTTGCCATGGTAGAACTGCTGCGTACAGTGGTCTGAACATCTGGACTACTGTTTTTTGGGGGGGTTAGCAGTAAAACCATAAGTTTTCATATGCCTAGAAGCTATCTCTGTACTTATACTACTATTCCATCTGTAGGTTGGAAGGTTACCCATTTAAAATAGAGGAGGCCTTTGCCTTCTAACAGTTGCTAACATTTCAATAAAGAATGACATAGGAGCCTCCGTGAAATATTAGGCTGGAGTGAGGTTACTGGTGGGTTATTTTACAGATATAACTGCTCCTTAGAAACTCAGCAATACCAAAATATCTCCTGAGAGGACAACACTATAATGTCCTACTGTTTTTTTCCAGAGAAGAAGAGCACCAAATTAAAAGCTGAGAGACAAAGCTGAGCATGGTTACAACATATATATTTAGCAAAGGCCAAGGTATCTTGTGGATTTATGTCCTTAGTGCTTCATGTGAGGGACTGGTGAGGAGGATAAATTAACCCTTGTAACCTTCTCCATATATAATACAATGCAATTCTGCAACTGCATTGAAGAATACTATTACTTGGGAACTTGAATGAAAAAAATGGGGCAACAGGAGTCTCAGGAAGTTCAACAAAGGGAAATGCAAAGTCCTGTAGTTTGGGATTAATAACCCCATGCACCAGTAGAGGCTGGAGATCGACCAGCTGGAAAGCAGCCTTGCAGAAAAAGACCTGGGGTCCTGGTAGACAAGTTGAACGTGAGTCAGCAATGTGCCCTCACAGTAGAGGTGTCTAACAGTATCCTCAGTTGAATCAGGACAAGTGATTACAGGTTGAGAGAGGTGACCCGTCCCCTCTACTTAGCCCTGGTTATGGCCACACCTGAAGTGTCGGGTCCTGTTCTGCACTCCCCAGTGCAAGGCAGATGTGGGCATGGCAGAGCAAGTCCAGTGAAGGGCCATAAAGATGTCTAAGAGATTGAAGCATCTCTCGTATGAGGAAAGGCTGAGAGAGCTGGGACTGGTCAGCCGACAGAAGAGATGGTTTATGGGAGGATCACATCAATAACCTGATGAACGGGAGTAAAGAAGACAGAGGCAAACTTCTCAGTGGTATCTAGTGAAAGTGCAAGAGGCAATGGGCACAAATCAAACGCAAGAAATACTTAAACAAAAGAAGCAGCTTTTTCACAGTAAGGCTAAGTGAACACTGGAACAGGTTGACCAAAGGGGCTGTAGAGTCTCCATCCCTGGAGGGATATTCAAAACCTGTCCAGACATAGTCTTGAGCACCCTGCTTTAGCTGACCCCGCTCTGAAAGGGGGAGTTGGACTAGACAGTCTCCTGACATTGATGTCAACCTTAACTATTCTGTGATACCATATAAAACTAGGTCAATCTTTATAGAAGCTATCTTCTTACCTTAATGCACTATGCAGTGAAAATCTGACGTATGGAGGGCTAGAGAGAGCTGTGGGAACTTTACGAAGCACCACCAAAAAGCTTTAACTAAGTAAACATACTGCATTCAGGTTACATAAAACCTTTCCTTTGTAGCAAAATGTTAATTAGAAGAGCTCAATGATGGTCTTTGTAAATATCCCTTTGAAGACATTTTTAATTATTTCTTAAGCTAAAATAAATAACCTTGAAATCTGCCAACGTTATCCTGCTTCTAACATCTAAATTAGAATGAATTATCTATGTTTAAAATACAAATAAAAAATGTGCATTGCTAGAAGCTATCTGAATATCCACCCACCTCTATTCACTGGAAACCTGATCTTTAAAAAGGTGCGTGGGAGAAGTCATTCCAGTTGAATGCCCTACCACCATGAAAGAAAATTAAACTTGAGGCAATCATTTTCTCTGTAGTTACCGATGTCCTCTATAGTTGAACCTCTGAAGAATAGCAGAGAAAATGAACAAGGAACTTAAAAAATGCATTATGATTCTGGTCATCATCATAAGTGAATGACTTTCAGGTGTATTTCATATAAGGCTGGAAAATGCAAAACAACATTAAAGGTTTTCTTTAGAGAAAAATAAAGCTGATTTTAAAAGCTGTGATTTGATACAAAAATAGCTGCACATTACTGTTGCAAATGTAATGTCTTACTAGAGGTAGTTAGAATTTCTTTTGCATACCTTAAGCATGAATTAGTGACAAGAAAACAGACTTCGTACAGAACTGTACGTTTTGAGCCTGACATAATCTTCAATCTGTGGAGCACACTAGCCCATTGGCCTCCAGCTCTAGCTTTCCTCAGTATGAAAACTATGACTTTTTTTATTTTTTTTATAAATCACAGAAATCCTTTAATGACAATTTCTGGCACGTACTTGTCAAGTATGCTCAGGTGAACTGCTAAATTATCCATGGCCAACCATTTAACATGTAAATATTTAAAAAGTCAGAATTTCAAGTTTAAATTTAGTCATTCCAGGTGGCATCTATCCTGTGAGTTAGGTCACGAGTCTTAACTAGTTGTTCAAGGCTTGCTGTTTTTAAAACTTATCTTAAATAAAAAGTAACAACTACCATATTGATAAAGTCTCGTATGACTCTCTAACCCTGTAGAAAATGTCAACGTTGTGAAGGGAAAATGAAAAGCTGTCTTGGAATTTGCTACCAAATTTCAAGTAAAAACAAAAGTTTTTGTTTCAGAATGTTTCTAGTGTCTCCCAGTAACTCTAGTTCAGGTGGCTTGTGCCCCTCCTCTCTTCTAAAGCTCAGTGTTTCTAGAGTGTCCTCTTCTAGCACGTGCCAGACATTCTCACTGAGCCAGCATGGGTGCCCCTGTTAATGACATGCCATGAGAAATAGGACCTAATTAAGAAACTGTCCAAAAGTTAGAGGTAGGAGACATACAAACTACATTTCCTATTACAGAGTTTATGTCTTATTTGACATCTCATTAAAATACAAACAATTATTATTTTAATATAAAAATGTACATTTTAACATATTTTTTCCAAGTCTTTGTCAAGGCCTTGAGTGCACCAAGAGGTACTGCAAACTATTCCCCCTCACACTCCTACAGGTTTGGCCACCTGGGCTCAAGGCCAGCTCTGACATTGCACAACTGTGTAACCTTGGGTAAGACTGTGGTGACAGTGGTGTGCAGGAGTTGGGAGAAGCCTTGCCAGGCACATCTCCCCTTCACTTGGGAGCTACACTAAAGCTGAGACAGCATTTAAACCCTTAGTCCTTGCCTGAGTTACATTACTGGTGTGCCTGCATCTGGTCAGGCCCCTCACTGACATTGACTCACAGATTTGACGTCCTGGCTTGACCTTGGACTTGGCTCATCACTACAGACTCACCTGGAGATCTGAACTCTTGGCATGACCCTGTTTACTGTCACTGGACCTGCTCTGCTACCTTTGTTCAGGTTCTGTGGGAATGCTCCTTCACGGGTGATGCCACTGCCCTGCCTGCCTTGCTGTCAACTCCCAGCTCAGCTCTGTTGTGGAGCAGCTCATTCTTGCTTCTCTCTAAGTGTCAAATTCAGTTGTCAATTGAAAAGAAAAAAAAAAAAAATCAAGTAATTTTTCAGGCAGCATTTGATGAAAGGTGGGTGGTTCTTTCTACCAAAGTTGCTATTAATTCAGCCTGAAAAGTTTTAGATGAACATGGTATGTTCATATGTGTAAGTATAAAGATCAGTATGAAGCTGAGACCAGCCCCTCAGTAATCATCATGGCCTTCCTAGAGCTTTGAAATTCATAACTTTATTCACTATCTTTCTCAATGACGCTCCATCAGAGATACAGAGCAAAAAGAGTTTGAAGCTCACAAGTAACACTACCTATCCTGGGTTTAAACATTTTTTTTTTTTTTTTTTTTTTTTGTGGCAGATTCAGGATAGGTCTTGTCACTATGTCCATGTATGTATTTTCAACTCCTTCCTTATGTGAGACTTGCACCAGTAGTTCTTGGCAGCAAGCTGAAGCCCAAGCAACCTTCCTCCCCTGTTCCTCATGCAAGAACTGGTATATTTTTAAAAGACCCTGCTGGAAGGCAGCAAATGACTTAGACTACAGATTTCTACAGTATAATTGGGCTGGTTCAGCAAAAAAAAAAAAACAAAAACAAACCACTACTCAAATTAAGACCATTTAAATAACAGCAGTGGAGTAACAGTTCTTCATATTTATGCATTACCTTTCACTCTGGTGGGAACCCAAAGCTGCTTACATATTACACAAAGCAAGTTTCACTGAACTCTTGTGAACCTGCTACATACCCTGCCCAGTGGTAAAACCAGGCTGCGAGAAGCTTCAGGGACTTGTCTAAGAAAAACACTGATGGGAAATAACAAAAACCACAACATCCATAGGATTTACGATAATCTCAAAGATGGTACAGTTACTCCAAAGGTATTTTTTTTGTTGCTTCTTTGGACAGTCAGAAGCAGGAGTTAAACAGTCAAACATCAACTGATGCTGCCAGTATTCTTTATAATTCAGATGAGGGTACTATTTTTTTAAATAGTTGCTAATGTTTTGGTGGGTTTTTTGTTTGGTTGGTTGGTTTGTTTTTTACATAGTCTCTCTTGGATGTTGAAAAATATAATACATTAAGATAAAAAAAAGGATCTCTGTCTCTGCAGTAAGGACTCTGTAAGAATGCATCATGGGACAGGAAGATAACCTTCGCAGAACCACAACAGTTTTAGTTGCTGTGATTTTGCAAGAGTGAGGTACAACACAGTAGAAAAGCATGTTGCTGCTGTGGAAGGCTTTTTTCAGGTCACCTTGCTCTGAGAAGCTTGACATTTGTCCCTGCCATCTTCTACTCCTGGCAAGTATTTCTACTGCTAAATTTCATACCAGGGCTCATCAAGACAACACCTCCAACATGCTACATAACACATAAGGATGAATTTGTGCAAGGTCTGTACTCACGCAGAAGTTGTCTGCATATCATGCCAGCTTTTGCTGAAGTTCTGCTTCAGTTCATTCATCAGACTTATGCCAAGCTTTTGTTTAATTTCAACCAGGTGCTTTTCTTTGGCTGCTAGCACTTGCCGCAAAGTTGAAATTTCATCCTCTAGCTGAGAGAAACAAAGAGGGAGGAGAAAGGTGTTAACCTGCTCCCACAGAATGATAAGCATATGATGTTAAAAGATTAAATGAATCTCACATAAACTTGTGGTTTTTCTAGGTGACTAGAGACAGAGAGATTCAAGTGCTTGTGGAGATCACAAAGACATGTCCAGAACAGAGCTGACACTAACATTAAGTTAATGTTTCAAACCGCGTCACCTGTGTGCACCATCACACACGTGCATCTGACCAGAGAGAATTCTCCAGTAACTCCAGTGACTCTTGAGCAACTTGACCAAGATTTGCCTTAGGGCATTAGGAGTCTCGAACATCAGCTTTTCATTCACTAGTAACATTGCAATAAGCAGAACAAGAAGAGACAGGATAATTCAGGAAAACATCTCTCTTTGAATGCACAGGCTTTCAACTTCACATTTGCAGCTTTTTAGCCTTCACTCAAGAAAAAAATAGATGCAAATTCTTAGAAGTAGGTTAAAAAAAAAAAAATCACATGATAACATAGGACTTGAGAGTACCATAAAAAGTTACATCCTTGTCACATGAGTTTTAGCTATATATTTTAGACCCTACATATTTCAAAATAGTAACATAAAAATATGCAGCAGATGGTCTGTTAACATGAGTGAACAGGTCCTCCCCAAAGCATAGAAGCATTCAGAAGACACAGCAGATTAGTCTTTTCAGAGCTCCTAGGCATTAACCAAACGGTGTGAATTCAAGTTGTAAAGATGCCATTCAGCCCGAACCGAGGGATATAATTCTCCCTGAAGTGGATATTGTTTGAAACATTTACATATTTAAACCAAGTTTTAGCAAGGCAAAGTCCAGAACACTTGACAGAGAGGGGGGATGGCTGAATCAGCCTGCCACTGGCGCAGGATCCCCACCTTGGGCAGCACTCCTACCAGCATGGGTTTGCATTCTTTGCCCAGAAGCCTCCCAAGCCAATCAATTATACAAGCAGCACTCAGAGGTACTGAAGCTAACAAGGGCAAGTGACACCAGAGCAGCTGCCTTTCACTTCAGGTTTAGAAATTCCCTTACCAACTGTGTTCCTTCCTCCATATGTTAATAGGATAGCATATGGTAATGTATCTGATTACCATATGTTAAGTTCCCTGGAACCACAGCCTCCCTGTGATTTAACTCCATAGGCTGCACGGGATGAGGCAAGCACCAGATGAATCAGTTGCTGACCTCCAGGGCTATATTTAGGATGTCAGTAACAGCATTATTTTTATTTTACACACATAGGCATTCTGCTTCCCTGTAAAACTGGCTGCAAGCTCACTGTTCTTAGGAAAGTCTTGCCCTTGAATCCCCCAGATATTAGTTTCTCTTTGGTCACTACCTGCTATCTAAATCATTCAAGCAGTTCAGGAATTAAGCAGCAAGACTATGAACACAAAGCAAAATCATCACTTCAGTGAAGCAGATACCACTGTTCACCAATGCCTGTGATACCAACACTTCACTGGTAGAATACATAACAATCCAAAATGGCTTTATTCCTTCCCATGTCCTTTATGCTCCATTATAGTCCTAACCTGCAAATGAAATTGTCAAGAGGTAGCATGAGTTTCTCTTCTGAGAGGATAACTGGTTAAATGCTTACAGATCACTATACTTACAAATCACTATGTCAGCACTCCTCAGTGGGCAGTTCAGAGCTCCCTGTAGTTGTTTCCCACCCACAGCAAAACCCTTAGTGCACACGTCTGCCTGAGTAACACTGCTAAAGAACTCAATTTAAACCAATGCCAGTATGCCTACATGTACTTAAAGATTAATGCTTTCCATATGGGCTAGCATTAGGCTGATCATTAGGTACCTGGATATGTAAACATTTGGGGGCTTCTATTAAAATTACTTTCCATCTGTTCCATTGAACAGACGCCTAAAGCTGTAAAGCCTTAAGCTAGCATTAACCATGTGCTCAATGGCATAAGTATGAACAACATTTTGACTGTATTAAAAATAATAAAGTATTTTTCTTTAGAGATGAGTTTTCAATTGACAAAATCCTCCTCAAGTTCCATCATTTTAAAACAATGGCAGATTCAAAGCTTCCCTTCAAGTGCTCAGGTATCAGTGACTGAAGACTGTGAAGTAGGTAGAAAGGATTAGGGACTTCTAGTAGCATCTTAAAAAGCATTTAAGCAGGTTACATACCTAACTCCCATGGAAGTCAGGCATCACCTGCTTAGGCATTTTTGAAAAGTCCGCTTTTATAAATGCAGACTCCATTATGAAACTAGGGCTTAAGTCAACAGAAATACAAGCTTCTAGTCCCCATGTTTCCTTTCCTTCTAAGTGCAAGAGTCAGAAGAATATAGATGCATCATATAGGGACAAAGTTCCCTTCTCCCTTTTTGTGGGCTTATGAATGAGTTAATAGCTGTTTTTTCTTTCCTGTGTTATTGTGTGGGACATGTAAAAGCAAGGAGAGGAGCTGACCACCTAAGACATTACGATTCCCATGGTTAGCTGACATGAGTAACATGTAAATCACACAAAGGTGAGACCTCTGGAAAAAATCCACAATTACAGATAGATCTCTCTGAAATCTGGGACTGACTAATAATATGGAAGAAGTCCAGTACACAAACACAAAAAATTATTTTCTCTTGTTTAACCTTTTTAAAGTATTTTAGGGCAAATTGTATGTTTTACGGGGTTGAACATCCTTTTAAGATGGTGGCATGCCTGAAAAAAACCACCCCACTAATTCTCCAACCTCTAACTTTTCCCATTTTTCCCAGTAGACACTCACAAAACAGCTCTTAAAAAACAAACCAGAATGTACTTATTCAGAAAAATGAAGCATTTTGGATAAACCACTATTAATTAAAAAATATGTCAGTTGATATTATCTATATTCTGAGATAAACATAGTACTATGTAAAATGTGGAGGCGGAAAGATTCAGCTACTGGTTGGAATAATACTGATGAATGGGTTGAATGGTAAGCTGAATAGTAAATTATTTACTATGCTTGTTTTAAGGATCAAGACAGTAAGTGATTAAAATATTACGGAGCCCCAACAGCAAAAAGAAGCCAGCATAGTTAAATGTACACTTCTAATTTACAGTAAGCATCCTTTTTCCCTACCTCTAAATCACCCAAATGTGTATGGTCTGGTCTGGCTGTTTGCACAGCCCTCCTCACCAGGGGGAGCTGAACCAGGTAAAAGCCATCACAGAAAAAACACGGGCTATTTTTAAACCAGATCATTTCCTAGATCCAGTGCAGAGAGGTGCGCAAGCACCTGTGCAGGTACAGCACAGAGGGCAAGAACAAGTGGCTGGAGGTGGAGAAGAGAGGAAGGCAGTGATCAGTTAAAGCAGCACATGCAGTACACCCATGGAGGTTGTGTTCTGTGACAGGTACTACAGGCATACATCACTACTGAAAGGCAGGCAGATATGGCTGTTCAGGAGTGAGAACTACCTGAGGGACAGGCTTTGTCAGGTATTGTTTAAAGAAATAAAAAGTTATGCAACCAACACCAGCAGTGTGATAATATGCTGACAAAAACTTGAGAAGGAGCTGGCAACTACCGCAAAGCCAGCAGAGAAGCCTATGCCACAGTCCCCTGACAGGGTGGTGTGGGAGCAGGTGCTGTCCCAAGGAACTCCCCTTGGCCCCTGTGAGCTGGTACACCCCTCTCCAGTTGCAGGATCAGAATTCCCCCCCTGCACAGCTGCACCACTCACTAGCTGACAGCACCTCCTAGTCATGCTGCCAAAACCAGCCAGGAGGCACAGAGATGAAAATAATAGGGGTACAAAGTTTGAAAGGGCACTGCCACAAAATGTCTCACATCATGGAACCACAGCTTGGAAATACTCTGGATTCTCAGGGCAGGCTCACACACTTCACCACCACTGTGGCAATCAGCCTGCAGTGTGCACCTGCCTGCCTGTGCTGGAACTGAACATCAACTCTCTGCATAGCTATTATCCTGTAAGAAAAGCTGGAAAACATGTAACAGACAAAAAATGTAATAAGGAAGGACCCGCTCTATCACTGGTAGGAAGAGCAACTATGAGGGGGTACATGATAACAGAAAGAAGTTCACTTTGTGAGGAAGAAAATAATCTTTTCCTTCATTTCATTTGCTTTCAGAAAAAAAAAACAAAACAAAACAAAACACAAGACTGCATCTTCTCTATACTGTTCTTTCACATAATCTTTTTTATGTCAGAAGACACAAAGAAAGTTACAGCAAACATACAGAAAAACTGTCTCAGTAAAGCCAATCCATGGGACCCTTAAATTTTGATTAGTTACTGTATTTAGTAAAGAAGTGGTTTTGAATTGTTACCCCTTTTCAAAATTGCTGAGTATTGTAACATGTATACTAACAAGCATAAAATATTTGTAAGGAGATGTGAGCACCTTACTCTAGTAGCCTTTTAAAGAAGATAGTTTTAAGTGTAATAGAATAACATAGCATAAAAAAATAACAGGAACTTCACCTCTGCATCAAATTCTATAGCTCATATTTTACACCCTCAGGCTGAGTACCTGTTGATTTATAAGTTTTTCCTTGGGTGAACAGCACCCAGAGACATCAGGGACACCCATAAATAAATTCAGTTTGCAGAAAAAGGTGCTTGCATCTTTCCTCGGACTGGGAATAAACATTCAGCAACACACATAGCTGAACTCAGAACCTGTGCATCACCGAGAAAGCTTGTAAATCAGATGAGATAGCTGCTTTTGTGAAGGTATGGGAGGGGGAAGACAGCAAGGAGTAAATGAGAACTTTGATGACTGCAATGGAAGGACAACTGACAGCAGTGAGTGAGATAGCTCAAAACCTCAGCCCCCACCATGACTCAAGAGTCATTGTACCATGCTCCTCACACTGAGGGAGGAAGGGGGGAGAAAAAGAATCTGTTCTGCTAACAAGCTTCTGGCCTTATGTAAAGTTTTCAAGCTACAATTTTCTGCTATTATCCCAAAGTGTCAGCCTGACCTCTGTTTATTCAAATGACGGCTAGAAATTTCTGTAAGAGTTACTCATTTTACTTGCATTGTAGAAATTCCAAGGCTTGATTAGAGTCAGAGCCCAGCTGTGTTAGCCAGACTAGAACAGTTAGTCCATGCTCTGAAAAGCTTTTAGTACAAAGAGACTACTAGCAGGGGAATAGGTAAAGAGGATACAGAAAACCAGTCATGCTAGTTCCCCTCCTAATGTCAAGGAGGGAAGGAGGAAGAGGAAGAAGACAAAGATACACAACACAGAGATGGAACATATTTTTTTCTGTTTAAATACATGCACAATAGCTCCCCATTAAGTGACTGTAGCACTAAGGAAGATTTGAACATTTCAGAACAATAAGAAGAAAGGTGCTTGTTCCTACAGGCTCAAACAGGTATTACCCAACACATAAGGACATGGAAGAAAACAAAACTACCACCGATGGAGCCAAAGGGGCTTGGAAGTAAAGACTAACAGCTCTTCAAAAGGAAACATCAGCCAATTCCCACAGAGGTTTCTTTCTGAAGGAGTCAAGGTCTTACACCTTTTCTACAGTCTTTTCTAAGAATCATAAGCCTCATTTAAGTTTAATTTTGTTCACTCTAAATTCAAGTCTCCCAAACCTTTCTTAGCATAATTATCAGTTTTATTTTGTTTTTAAGCATGAACTGTATGCCAGTAATCTGCTGCGAGCAATTCAAAAAATAATTTCTAGATCAACCAAGATCATAATATCTGAAAGGCAATCTCTCACTTGTGTGTTTGTACAAGAATTAAAGCATTTCTACCACGAGCCACTGAGAACTCTCCGCTCCCACAAGAATCACCAAGCAGGAAGAATGCCCAGAAACTCTTGAGATTACTTCTCTTGAGAGAGGCATATCATTCTCAGGTGGTTGCAGGAAGTTCTTTCTTTTCTTCACTGTTTCCATCTGCCTCTTAAGTCCTTTTCACCAAAAAGGAGAAGAGAATCCCAGAATGGCTGATGTTGGAAGGTCCAACCCCCCTGCCCAAGCTGGACCATGCAGAGCCAGCTGCCCAGGACTGTGCCCAGATGGCTTTTGAGTATCTCCAAGGATAGAGACTCCACAGACTCTCTGGGCAACCTGCACAAGTGCTCAGTCACACTCACAGTAAAAATGTGTTTCCTGATGTTCAGAGGGAACCTCCTGTGTTTCAGTGTGCACCCACTGCCCTTGGTCCTGATGAAAAGCCAATAATGAACATCCCACCTCCTATCTCATCGCTATGTGATGAACTGAACATGTAAAGTTTCATTTTCCTTCTTACTATTTACAGGTGTGATAGGAAGGAACAGCAAATAAATAAAAATTAACTAGCAACTCAGAAACACAAGGCCTAATAAAACATTAAAGAGAAAAACCTAATCTTTTGGTTTTTGTTTCACTAGAAAATCCTACATCAGCACTGAAGGTAAATGACTAAAGAGTCATTAAGAATGTCACTTCTTAGAGTATTTCATGTTACAACTTAATATGAAAGACAGAGATCAATCTCTGAAAAAGAACTGTCCTCTGGATGTGCCTGTTGTGTGTGTAGTAGTAGCAAATGCTTCGCAGAGCACTATGGAACAATTAGGAAAGAACGTTTTTTCCCTAGCCAGTTTACACTTTGAGGGTATATGCTCACAGTCCCAAATTTTGGGTTTCTTACTATTCAAATGGGCTGTTATTTTATTCTTGCTATGTTTCCAATCTACTGTCTTAAAAAAATCATTATTTCAACTAAGACAAAACCAACTCCCCCTGCTTCATACAGCTGTGATTTATGTTATTTATCTCATATTTAAAATAAGTAAATCCTTATTTTTTCCCATTCTCTCATTTTCCAATTTGGAATTTCACTTCTGTTTCTGAGGTATTCAGCAGCAGTAATTAAAACTGAATCCACCCTCCCATTGCAGACCAATCTAGACAATCTCTTTAATCTTCGTAATAAAAAGACCACATGGTTCACACCTCTTTCCTCTCATCTCCTTGTTATTAAGTACTATTTTTAAATCTCTTCATGGTGTCATGATATCTCCCGAAGTTCTTTCATTAAGCAAACAACAAATACAAACCAAAAATATAACCCTCTCCAAACACATCAGTGCCAAAGGAAATAAAAATGTGGTAAAATTACTGTGCTCAGCAGCAGCAGCTTTTCCTCTGAGCACCACACTTTTCCATCAGGTGTCACAACCACTGTAACAACAATACCACAGATCCAATAAGAACACTTTTCATTCTTTATAAAGGAAGGTTTATAAATAAAGACACGTCTCGGCTAAATGGTCAGGTATATTTAACCTTCTCTCTACAATCATCAAGCAGAAGGATATTGAAACTTCAAAAAAATACGTAAGGAAATTAACTGCTTCACATCGTTGTAGCCTAGAATAGTTTTACTAAAAAGGAGGAGCATACCTTTACGATGAGTACTTCATCCTACAATTAATATCTTCCCGTTTAAGGAAGCAGAAACAGTAACACTCAAAGAAATTCAAATTCATTACCTTGGCTAGCTCAATCTTTAACTCTTCCTTTTCTTCTTCAGAAATCATATTGGTGAAATCAACATCACTGACCACATCTTCATCTGCTTCATGAAAAGACTGGGTTTCCAACAGGCCTTAAAGTAAAGAGTTAAAATGTCAAGACAACCATTATCAATTATTTCGGCTATGATACTGACCTCCCTTAAAAAATCTAAGAATGATATAATATTTGCCCACTAGGAATAAAAAAAACAAAGAAAAACAAAACAACCTTTCCCTGCTAAAGGGCATTTAGATTCTGCTCCTCTGCTTCTAAAAAGCTATTGGAAGTATCAGATGGTAATATCTGCATAGAAGCAATGTAATATGTGAAAACGCCACTCATTGGCAGAAAACAATCACCTTGGACCCCACTAGTCCCTGACAAGTCATTTCCTTGATTCTAACAATACAGAAGAAAAAAAGAAATAAAAATAAAAAAAAATAAAAAAAATATTTTTCTTCAAAATAAGAAAGCTGGTTAATGTGGATCACAGATGTGAATAGGAGCAACAGTACACTGAGCAATATAGGAAGTATATTACTGAGCCAAATTTGCTTTAAAAGTACCTCTGATTGCAGCAATTGGAGAACCTTACAGTTGTACACAGTTTGCAGAAGCAAATGCTATACCTACTGTTCAAATTTTCTAAATGTTAGAGAGACATATACCTTGATTGCTCATTTTAAACCTGTTAAGGGTGAACAATTATATTGGACCTGCAGTCACTTCCTTCTTCTGTGTGTCCAAGATCAAGATCAGTATGCATGATAACCAAGATAAGCACATACATAAATGTTTGCTAGACCTGGGCCTGCCTGGTATAATACATACAGATGAAACAAAATATAACTTATCTCTCAATCATTCAGTAAAGAGAAGAATGATTGCCGGGGTTCCAGCCATTAAGAACCTCTCATTCTTTATTGTCTGCAAACAAAACAATGCAAAACATGAGACAACAGAAAATATTCTCGTTCCTTTGGAACTTGTTTTGAAATTCTCAATCTGTTTCTGTTGTGGAAGAAAATTCTCCTCCAGGCTACATCTGGGATGATACTTTTCCCTGTACTTCAGTTCTTTAGCAGGGTAATTAGCCATCTCAGCTGACTCCTGACATCTGTATACTGCTTAATACAGAAGAGAACAACTTCTTTCCCAGGTCCAGAGAGGCCTGTATACTCTATTACATAGCGCTTAGAATTTAACTTTGTTAAATTTTGGCAGTAGGGAATAGAGGTTACAAGAAGCAAGGCTGTAGCACTCAACAACTTGAAATTGAGTACTTTATATTTTCATGCAGAGCACAAAACTCCCTCCAGCTTTCTGCCATTTCTTCTATCTAGAGTCCCCCAGTGTACCTGGATTTCCTTCTATTTAACAGAACAGAATTGATTTGATTCATACCACCAACTGCACTGCAGAGCACAATGTGGAGAACTCAGCCTTGCTAATTACAACCTCCCTTGAGTGGGAAGATAAAGAGCAGCAACACAGGTGCTGAACCCCTGCATGGCACCATATGCAAGAATAGAGCACCACCCTTAAGCACAAAACCTTTTAAAAAACTTGAAAGCATACAGATGATACCTTAGCTATTACCCAAAAAGCAGCTCGCCAGGAAAACCTAGATTGCCAAAGCCACAACAAAGGAAAAGAACATTTATTCAGTAGGAATACTCTCAAATCACCTTTATTAACATCCCTACATGTCAAACCACAATTGTTGTTTGGTATTTGTTTGAGGATTAATAGTGTTGCTATGGGAATCAGGCTAAACTTAGTCCCATCGGTCTTGAAAGCAGTCTCTTTCATGGATGGAGGTGCAGCAGTACAGGGCAGCTCCTGGAAATGCTGTGAAGAATCTCAGGGGCAACAGGGTTAAGGCTGAAAATCCTTAAGGAAAATCTCGAGGTAGATGCAAGGTGAGATGATCTTGGAGCAACTGATACGTGAGCTAAAAAGAAGGCAGATCTGAGCTCAAGGGACAGCATTAGTTTGGGATTGGCTAGGTAAAGAGGGTAGAATTGCAGGACAGTGGTTAGATAGATACGTAAACCAACATGGGCCAAAATCACCAAAGACAACCAAGTAATACTTAACTAGACCCAATGGTCAAGTTCAAACTTCAAGATTGAACTAAAATTACAATCCATTCCAAAATAGCATATGCATGTCAATCTTCTGCAGGAAGTATGCAGGCAAGGTTCCCAAGACTTTGATCTTCTTAGTCTTTTTTTTTTTCTCCAATTTCTGTGCCTGTCCCTATTTCCCCTTTCATAGTCACTGTGTCCTGTATTAGATTTCAAACAGTTAGAGGTCTCCTAAAACAAGTTTAAGGAAAACAGTCAGTTGGTAGAGAAGATTTAAAGTGATTTCATAGACAGAGATAATGCTAGATTTGCTCATCCTTATATGAGGCATCAGAGAAATCCAATAGGGAAGAAGGGTCATTCATAAAATCTGTTTTAAAAAAACAGAAAAAAATGTCCATGTTTGTACTTCTGAGCATCACAGCACCTATTCCATCAAAGCACATCTTCTGTGAGGTTCCTACAGCACCTTACCCAGGAGGAATTCAGCACAGAGTCAGGAGGAACATGGTTCTATGGTACTAACTTGATTCAGGGGAGCCAGCCAACCACCAGACAGAAAACCACGGGAAATAAGGCCATCAACATTTTCCTATTCGTAAGACAACTTGTTAGTTTTGCAGTCTCCAAGGAGAGCAGGAACCTGAAGCAAAATTCACACCAATACATACATGAATCGGTAATGATTTTGGTAGTAAAACAGCTCCTATTGCTAGTATTGCTGACCCCAAAATATTCTCTCACCTTTGACTCTGCAGGAAGCACAGCCTCCTCTCAAGCTTCCCTGTAGGGTTCTTTCAACTAGGCAATCTGGAAAATATACCTTTCAGACATTGGTTATAGATGCACCAAGTACAGAAGCAAAATAGCATACAAGAGCTCAGTGGGATTCCTGATATGTCTTGAATTAACCGCATAATTCTTTATGAAACAAGGAACAAGGTAGGATCCTGTTTAGTGTGTGTAATCTAGCTACACATTTTGTTAAACACAACCTAACAATTTGTGAACACATACAGAAGGATGAGTGGATTCAACTAAATGGTTAAAGCTGAGTGCTGGAATCTAAGTATTTTTCTACACTATATAGAAGAGTGCCAGGTTTAAGCATCTAAAAGCCAGAATTTTAAGATAACACTACATTTTTATACTTCACCATGTAGATCCAATTTCAACAATTATGTACCTCACCCAGGAACAAAGAAATCTGCACTTTAGCAATGAAGACATTCATCTTTGTGCATGTACAGACATTCAGTTTATACATACAGTTGCTTCAGCTGAGCATGTAACACAGCTCTTTAATTTCACACTTCTTCCTTTGGGGGTTGAAGGAATTTAACTGGTTTCCTACTCACCTGGAATTAAATATATCTACATAGTATGTATCTATATATATAACTGTATATCTACACATAGCCATAATGTATCTACAGTTATATAAATAATCTGTAACTTCTCACAGAAACTAAAATATGGAACGGCATTTTAATCAGATGCCCAAGGCAAATCTTTCACGCAGCATTGGAATACTATAACTTTTACAGTGCACCTCAGTTTCCATTTGCTGATCTCTACACAGAACCTATCTTTTACTTTAAATTTAGGCTATCTTAAATAATAGTATTCAAATGATCATTAGCTACTTATTAAATTAAGCTTGATGGGAAGTTGGGAATCTGGTCAGTTAACATTTCAAGGCTCTGTTTTCCAATAGCTTACTGAAAATATGGGGAAGCTGTAAAATTAATTTAAGTCATTCTTTCTCCTAACTTACAGGATTAGGGAAAATATTTATTACTTACTAACACTCAGTGAAGTTTCCTTCTGACAAAATATGGGGAACATAAAATTTCAAAGTGAAACATTTCCCAATGGCTAAATTAGTTTTCCATATGAAGTGACAAATATATGCCCAGTCAGAATCATTACTGCCAAATTACCAACTGGTTTTATGTGCAGGGAACTAAAGCAGTTTTACTTGCATGCTCACAAAAGTAAAGCCACTAAAAGATCCTACCCTGCTAGGGTTCCCATCCCTGATTATTAAAGTTAACTGACTTCACTGCACTGAGATTCACGGTAATTCTAGAACTGCAAGATATCTGATACTCCCCAAGACCAATACATAATGATGTTTTAATCCTGCTAAATGGAAGTCAATTTCTACATAGTCAATGGCATTGCTAAAGCAGCAACAATAAGCAGAGGGGTTACAATTACGACATTATGATGTTTGAAACAGAGCAAAATATAGGTCAGCACCCACCAACTTGAACTCAGACTACAGCTGCATCAGTATAAACTCATTCTCTCCTAGGTAGCCATGCCAAGTTACACGTCTTACCAGCTCAGGCACACGAACAACATAACACACTGCTCTGGAGCCTTGAGCTAAGACGTCTGCTCTGGATCACACGTATACCAGTTGCTCAGAGCTTGTGGGTATCTCTGCACTGTGCTACACTGCAAAGACAGCAGAACATTTCTTGCTGCTACTGCTTTCTGTCTGTAGATACTGTCATCTTGCACACTTACAACTAGAGTTTCCAGACCAAGGGGAGTACTGTGAGACCTTGACAACGATAGAGCCACCCCTTAAGGGCAGGTTTCCAAGGAGCAGCCTAGAACCCCACAATGCACTTTAAGGGATGTCATATAAGCCCACCCGTAAGCACTGTTCTCACACAGTCTCAAAATCCTGGGCAGGCACGGTACCTGCGTACCTGGTAGCTCTCCTGCCCAGCTATATAACCTGACAACACACAGGTAACTTGGCTTGGGAGAGACAGTACTTTTGCTTAAAGATGCAGAGGTATTAGTTATGAGCCGTGAAAGATTTGGTCACTTTGGCAAGGGAGTTGTACAAGTAGCTGAGATGTTTTCAAGATTAACATAAAATCTTTGGCAGCAGAGAAAGGGGGGGGGGGGGGGGGGGGGGGGTGGGGGGGAAGTCCATCTGAGGTTCCCAATGCTCGTCCTTTCCCTGACTACTGTGACT